TTGTCTTCCCCTAGGTGGCATGGCGTTCCCCCATCCAAGCCTCATTACACAGCTCCAACTGGGCGCATTCACGCCTTTGAGTAATTAATACCAATTTCTGTCTCATAAACACCACTAGTTGTAAAGGAAATCGGTTTTGCGAAAACATGTTGTTTATAGGTATGTTTTTTTTTGTTATTTTTGACGTGTTTTTCGTAAGTTCCTGTACAAGTTGTTCACAATAGTTCTCACGAGTTTTTTCTGACACTTCATAAAATTTGTGGTGTTTAATAAATAAAAAAATGGGATAGAATGCACATAATATACAAATTCTAAGCTATTGTTGAGTATCAAGATTAGGGAGCTGTGTTTACAATTGAATTAAAAGTTTCATTAATCGGTATTATGAATTCAGCTCATTACAACAATTTTGATATAAACGTTTTAACTGTATAAGTAATATCCTAGTTTATGTCCCAACATAAAAAATCTCGAAGATTTTTCAAAAACAACCTATATAAAATCTCCATGAGCTCTGCAGTTGAAATTATGGCATTCACAAATTACTCCCCCAGGTCTCATTACTGACGCGCACCGTCTTTGTATAATTAATACAAAGACATAGCTGCAAGGCTCTCACGTATTGTCTACCATTAAAACGTGTAATTCCAAGTATTTTATTTTCTCCCGTTTCCTACTAACGCTTTTGATTATTGTGCAGAGAGAAATTATTTAATAATTACTGTTTTCTGTATATTAATATGAAGATTTTTTGTCCTAAGGTTTTAAACTCTGAGATGTATTCTCAGGATTTAATTTTTTTCTGAGAGGTGGTTAAAAATGAATAACATTTCGAATGAAAAGGTAGTTTTATGCAAGTTTTTTATTGGGTCGTTGATGCTTTCACAAACACAATAATACTTTCACTAAATAATTAAATATTCTTAAATTCTTCAAAAACTACCGAAAACACACAAATAACAATCACAAAGAAAACACACCCTTATAATACCTTATAACATCAAGCTTGGGCACGAATGGGCCGGCTCGACAGGAACGATAACAGAAAACCGACGTGAAACAACGTTTGCGTTGTGTTTCGTCGTGTGAGTGAGGTTACCAGGGGGCCCAATTACCCTCAGTCTCCACCAATCCCCGAATCCCCCACAATCTTCAAATTATCAATTCTCAAAAGGCTGGTAACGCACTTGTAACGCCTCTGATGTTTCAGTGTCCATAGGCGGTGCCGATTGCTTACCATCAGGTGATCCGTCTGCTCGTTTACCGGCTTATGCCATAAAAACACCAAACCACGAAGAAAATAAGCCATTTATTAAAACAGCAGAGCCATAACTACACTACGTTTCAACAGCACGTTACAAAGCATATCTTTTAATTTCAAACCACAGTTTTATTTTATTATTTGAAGCAACAAGTTCTCTTGTATTTCTTGCTACTGTTCTCTGGTTCATTAAAACCAGCTTTGTCTGTTTCTATCTGAATAAATTAACACAAAAGGCTATCTCAGTATTTACGACATTGTATTCAATTGTATTTTTATTCTTGAGAATATTTGTAAAAGTTATTTTTAATTCATTGTTTATTACTGTTTTTTAATAGCAAGAAACAGCACTACATATGTACCTACACAACAGTATGAACTTGATTTTTTAAACCCAAATAGATAATCTAAATTTATAATACTTGTTTATCGTCGGGAAATATTAATAGACAAATCCTTATAACATTTATATTATTATATTCTTTGTTCTACATAAAAGTGTTTCTACATACCAGTCTAAGAATATCAATATATGAAAATATAGCATTTCATCTATACATCTTACAAATAAATAAAATAGTAATGTCTATTTGTAAATATTAAAATAACCGCTTTTTTCTACATATATATGAATATACATACGATACACATAGCAAAAAATTTTTTTTTACAATTTTTTGTCTGTCTCTCTTTTTGTACTAGCTAATCTCTAAAATGGCTATACCGATTTTGACGGGAATTTTATTGGCAGTTGTTTTAACTAATTTTATTTTGAAAAATTTAAACAAAAAAGTTACGTCCTAAAATTCATAATATACGCGGACAAAATCGCGGGCTAGTAAATTAATAAAAACAAAAGGCCCAAAGAAAATTATGACTCAACTTCTATAATTTTTCTTCACGACCATTAATTCAAGACGCGCGTCTATTCTATATAATTTCCAGTTTAATATATAATTATATAATCATTAACCTGTCATTAGCCTGTCCTTATTGTGGCTCAGCACAGTCAGCACATTATTGTTTGAGTAATTAATACAAAGGCATAGTTGTGCTCCCATAGTATAGTCTGTCATTAGTGTATACTGCGTTTAAATTATGAACGTGACAACGTGACCACCTCAAAGGAGACCTTTGCGAATGTGTGAATTAGATTCTGAATATTTTAATATACTACGCTACTGTCTTGGGTAATGTTGTTTGTTGTAGTAATTATGTGTTTTAATTAGTGGTGGCTTTGTGTTTTAATTTGGTGGTTTTAGAAGATTTTAGTAGAATTAATTATAAGTATTTCCGAGGAGATTCGTTTAATTTTACACTGTTTAATGTGAATATTTCAGATTTTCAGTTACTTATTACCTATTCTTTTTTATAATTTTTTTTATTGATTGCGTCTTTGAGTTTTTTTTTCAGTAATATTGATTTAAAACACACTTATAATATCTAACTAGATGTGAAAATTCTATTATACATCTTCAGTACCTATACTTCACCAAAATTCATCAAAACACTTTCTTTGAAGACGCTCCACAAATTCGAGCTGAATAACGCCAATAGACTTGCATCTGGGCAATATACAGGGTGTATTCATCTTTTGTGTACCGAATGGATACAGGGTGTACAAAGTAAGTGGGGTAGCATCGTAGCGTAGGTATTACGAATATTTTGCACTCGTTCTCGCACAGGGGTGGTGATTCATCAATTGTGCAAAGTGCCACTTCATATTCGGTCCGTTTCACTGTCGCTTTGCGCCTCCAAAATGTACGCTGATTGGATCATGTGATTTTTTTCCGTTCTAAAGCGATTAATATCGTCGTTTGGTCGAGTGTTTTGTATGAGTAGCCATTAACTTGGAGTGGGTTTTATTATCATGCACGATCACACGGATATTGAAGTTTATTGGCTTCGGTGATTTATGTGAACATTGATTGGTTAAGTTGAAAAGTTTTAATTCGATATTCTTGATTTGCAAATATTATATTAAGCGCCGGTTTCACCACCTCTATATAAGTACCTGATAAGTTTCTGTGACATATAGTTTATAAAAATTACGTTCTTAATTTAAATCTATCTGGTAGATAACGGCTACCCAGATATTGTGAAACAGTCCCTAATGCCCGAATACTGAAACGTTACTCAATTTTAAGTCGTGCTTAAATATCGTGCCATTTCTGTCATTTCACAGTGAATTTGTGGAAACAGAACTATACTTAAGCGTGACTTAAAATTGAGTAACGTTTCAGTATTCGGGCATAAGTCTACTGTGTTTTTAACTTGATTCAACGAAAATTCATGTTATAGAAAACCTAATAATGCCTCCCCGGCAAAAAACATAGGAAACATCTTCGATGGATTTCGAGAGATCATCACACATTTTTTTTTATTTCTCTACGGTGAGATAATATTAACTCGTCGAGTACCGGTTTTGTAGACACAATTATAGAACAATAGATTGCGGTCACCGGTGACCGCTTGGTGTTTGACAGTTTAATATTACATAAGTCATATACATAATTATTTCAGATTTATGAGTAACACTATCAAAAGATCGGAGTAAACTAGACTTTAGCATGAGATGGGTATAAAACACAGACTATAATATCAACAATGAAACACAAAAAGTATCAAAACCACTCCTTCACACTATACTACCACTTCTTTTCGACTAAGCAAATAGAGTTAGTTGGATAATTTGACGCGACATCCCCCGGGAACTGAACCTGCATCTGTTAGAGGGTACCACTCTCCCATGTACCGTGCAATCGTCCGTAATGCACTTCAAATTAGAATAATATGATTTTAGTTTTCTTTGCGACGCGATTGAAATTTTTCATGAGGGTAGAGTAATTTTCTATGTTTTTTTAACGAATCTTCTTTTGTTGAAATGTCTTTCTGTTTTCTTTTCGCAAATTGTTCTTTATTTTCTCGGTTTATAATTGTTGAATTTCTTATCTTACCTATTTGCTCTGTTGATATGATTATTGAACGTGAATGAAAGACCGCATCATCGCTTATCACCAGGCGAGATAGTGGACAAACGTCGCCTCATCAAATATAAAAAAGAAAGACTTGAGACGAGTGATTATGAGATCATCATTATCTTTTTTCGATTTAAATCCTCCATTTTTTTTTAGAAAAAACGTTTTCTCACTTTAGGTTATTGTCACGTATCGTGGGTGCGTTAATATTTATTAAAATATAGAATTTCACATACACATGACACCCAGACCGGAAACAACAATCTATGGATCACAAAAAAGTTGTTCCGTGCGGGAATCGTACCCGCGACACTTTGTGTAGCAGCCAGTTCGCCAACCGTGCAGTCATTTGCTTTTCCTATAATATTTAATTGGTTAAAAGGTGTGTCGAGGCTCTGTCGGGTTATAAAGTAAAACTGAGGACTGTTTAATACATACATATTTACTTAAACGACAATCAAAATCGATTTTACTGTTGCCGACATAGAGAAATACCCGAAAGCTGGCGCGTTCGTGGACTGAGTGAACAAGCGCGGCACTCGCGTAGCTGAAGATCCGATACCCTCCCCCCTACGCCGCTGCCTATATGATCGATGGCCATATTGACGTGCCGATAGATGAAATACAATCATACTAATAAAATCATTACGTTTATTATTGTCTAACATGCAATTTTTCACCAAACGGAAAAAGATCAAATACCTCTCTAGGTACAGAGCCTACACTGCGCCAGCTTCTCATAAATATATACATTGTTTCAGGTCTAGACGCTGAACTCTACTACGTGAGAGAAGGCGTAGTAAATAAATACGCGACCGGCTTCACAGTGCCCGTACCAGCACATATTGCAGACTTGGAGTTCATGTGGCAGGCACTTGGCGGGAGACCGGTAAGATTATATAGAAGCTAACTTGTATCTAGTTTTTAGTGGTATACTGTATACCATAGAGAGATCAAAAGTTCTGTATACTATATAATACTATATAATATTTCTAACGAAATATTTTTATCGACTAAAAATCGCGGGCTCCTCAGAAGGGACACTGCTCATGAGGAAGAACCCCTTTGTGGTTCGAAACTAGTAGAGCTTTTATCAGTATTTTCACGTGAGTAGCCCGCGATTTTATGTTAATTTAGTATATTATTGTCACAATATATAAAATATAAAAACAAAATGTTTATCATAAACTGCATTTAACAGTATATAAGTAATTTGTTAATAAGCTTTTGCGATTTCGGTGCTAAAAGTTTGTGCAAATTTGGTCTTACCTAAGAAATGTGCCTACTAGGGTTATGAGAAGATATTGACTGTACATACGTCATACATACTACTTATTGTATTAAAGAAAAAAGCTGTCATAAACCAATACTTTTCCCTGAATACGAAACGCAATAAAAGTTCAGATTAATAAGGTATGTTGTGTAACATGCAAAAAGTTTAAAACACCATTATCATCACAATCAATAATTAAATTCGATTCTCTTTCACACTCAACAAAACCTATTAAACTATTTACAATAAATTGATTAATTGTTTCAATTACAATTTATTCGTCGACACAAGAGACTGGACGGCGAATAATTTTATTTTCAAACTTGTTTATTAAATTTTGTATTCCATTGAGCAAACGTTTCGTTCGATATCGAGCGTGGGGCATTCAGCATTTTCCAATTTGGTTTGAAAGCGATTTAATTTTCGAAAACAAAGGGACCGGATTATGACGTCATTTTTCGCTGTTCCTAGTGTTTAACGGATAAGAGTAGAATGACCGTTCGCCTTCTATGTAGGTATAAAACTGCAGTAAACATTACCGTTTTAATGAAGTTCTTTGTTCGTCTTAGAAGAAAATTTCTAAGATTACATCGCTTGTTCAAAGTTTTGTTGAAAGCATTTTTAATAACAATTTGTTAATTGAAATTCGATTTCGGAGTCTAGAAAAGTGAATAGGGATTAAATTTAATATGTTTAACTGAAATAAGCTTGTATTGGTAAGTACTGCTTTTAATAGAATTTCGGTTTAAAATTATCATTAACATACCTGACAAAGGTATATAACAATTATACATTTACTGCTGATCTCCTGAAACAATATTACTCACTGTTTCTTTCGATACTAATCGCACCTTCACGTAATAACATTCTATTTGAAAGTTCACCTTTTCTTTTCCAAGAACGTTTAGCACGTCTCATTCTTAATGCAGCACGTACATACGTTAAACAGCCAATATAAACTCTAACTTATTATTAATAAACATTAAAATCGATTGATGTCAATGGCTAGAGGTCACGGCTGCACTGACTCATCGCAAATAAAAGGCACAAATGAGAACGAATTGCTTTCAACCTTATTGAGATAAGACGAAGGTTAAAATTCCAATATCTTTGCTGGAATACTGAAGATTATTACGAGGTTAGAGACAGAATACAAATATATAATAGAATATCAATTTGTTTTTATCGTTGGAATAGATAAAGTAATTGTTTCTTAGGCTAGGTTTCAGACATAATTGATTTTGTGTAGATCTAAGACAGACCTTTTGAGGGGGAAAATCATCCAATGACCTCTCCCGCCTGGGTGAGGTGGGAGGGAAGGAGTGTCAGACTCTTACTGACTAAAAACCACCCCGTTCCTACTTCTGCATTTCGAGCCAGAGCCTCGGCAACCCGATAAGTCTTCCGCGGCTCCATCTAAAGAGCAGGCTCACCACAGAAATATTTCTAAGTTCCCTGACGAGTTGGTGCTGTTGGTAGTCGGCAACAGACAATTACTGTGATAAATTAAATATCTGTGAGGCATTTAAGTTAATTAAAGTATATAGACCCGTTTGCAAGACTATTATTTTCAGTCATGCTTAGTATGCACAATCATGAAACAACTGCATACTGTGTATAATGTCTTGATTTTTTTTAATCCGTTTCCTGAACGGTATAAGCTGGGAGTCTTCAAGGCCCGAGTGAATAGGTTGCTTATTGGACGACGTGCTCCATCGTAGACCGCATCATCGCTTACTACCAGGCGAGATAGTGGTCAAACGTCGCTCCATCGAATATAAAAAACTAAAAAAAAAATCCGATGGAAAAGGTCCAGGTTTTAGTTATATTGTAAACATTTCTATTGTGCGTCATTTACAAAACCTTTGTTTCAATAAATACCTACCTATCTGTCCCTACTAGGTACCTCCTTTATATGTCACGTAATATTTATGGTGTCGTTTCTCCGTAGCTGCCGTACGTGATGGGTGTAGACTACGAGTCTCGGGGCGCCATGCTGCCGCCGCAAGTCAATATATCTGAACGGGGGTTTGTGCCTACCACCCTGCAGACTTTTAGGTAAGTTTAGTACTTAGAATTGATTTTAGTAATATTAGTATACAAACAGATAGGTATTTGTTGATATGTTTTAACAAGATAGTTAAATAGTTGTTTCTGCCTACCCCCGTGTGAGACAGGCGTGAAGTTATGTATGTATGTAATTGAATTGATTCAAGTGATATCCAGTAAGCGTGGAGGTTACTGCAAGGGTGCAAGTTCTCTCTTATGTAGAGGATGCCCATAATAATTCGACACTTGATTATCCTAGAGTTTAGATGTTATTATTTTTCACAGACATAAAAGTACTCTTAAGTCATGATAACTGTTGTATATGTTTATTACCTGTGGCGAACTGGCCACTTTCGAAAGTTGATACCTAATATGTTCTTCTTATGTTTTATACAATACTAGCGGACCCAACAGACGTTGATGACAACGCATATCCACTTGAATGTATAAACATAAATTCATTCAAATTATTCCAGCTGTTTAGGATAAATAACTTAAACATCGACTGCAGCGCTATCTGCCGGGCTGATTTGTCAATCTAAACCATTCCCAGATCCCCTTGAACACACACAAAAATTTTCATCAAAATCGGTCCAGTCGTTTGAGAGAAGTCCAGTGACATACACTCTTACAGAATAATTATATATGTATATAAAGATATTGAGAGTGCTTCTGACTTACTTGTTTTAAATCAACCAATAGGTTTTTGGTCTTGAATTTAATACTAAAAACTGAAGGCTTTAGATACCTTAGAAACAACATAGTTCAATATAAAGATGCCGAATCAAACTCATTACCAATTATAATAAGGATGAGTCAATGTAAAGTATGGGGCTTTATTGATATTATGGACAAAAAACCCCGTTCATTGAATAATGGCTTGTGAGTCAACCTACAAACTTACTGAAGTGAAACGAAATATTATGCTGGAATAGAATTGATTTAGTTTTCTTAGTCTTATTCTTTGTATGCTGTTTATTTAGATGTCGTAATGACCCGGAGGTTTAAGACTTCTCATGCATGAGGGTGTGGTTTCTAAACCTACCAACGACAAGTACCAATGTGACTTTTTCCGAGTTATATGTACTTTCTAAGATTATTCAGACGTTACTGACAAACGGTGAAGGAAAACATCGTGAGGAAACTTGGGCTTATAATATCTAATTATAAGTGTGAAATCGCCAACCTGTAATGAGCAAGCGTGGTGGTTAATGCTCAAACCTTCTCCGTGTGAGAAGAGGCTTTGCTCAGCAGTGGGCATTTATAGGCTGTTGATGATGATGAGGAGGCTGTTTATTTCAAAATATACTTATTTGAAATTTCGTTTCGAGATTAAAGACCTAGTCATATTTTCATTTATGACAGTCGAGTCAGTCACAAGCCTAATCGGTGCTCTTGTATAAATGGCACAACCTACACGTCTTTGTCAGAGCTTACTTTATTCTGGGTAATGAATTTAATCAGAGTAGACTTTAATGCAAATAAAATATTAAATTCGAGAACATATATTTTTATTTAGGTAATGTTAAAAATAAATATTGAATATCTACCAAAAATACTAATAATTAAATTGGAAATTCGTTGCAGTGGAAGGCAAGAGTTCCTGAGAAAACTAAAAAGCTCAATAACACTCCGCTAACGGGAAACTCTTAATAATATTTTGCTTCACCTGGGAATCGAATCCATGACAACTTGCTCGATAATCGCGCTTGCGACCATTCGATTAACGAGGCAGTCATTTACAATAATTTTTGATTTTTTTACATAGAAGAGAAAAACTAATATGGTTCTTCAATCCCCAGGGTCCGTTTGCCGTGCACCGGTACCAGGAGCGCAGAGATCCTAGTGACTATGCAGCTCAACATATCGGCACCCGACCGAGCGCATAAAGACGTGCGGTTGATATTCAAAAGGAACAAGATTTGTTTGAAAGGTAAAGATTTTTTTTTACACGTATTGGTATTTTATTTACATACTACTAGTTTCGTCCGCGTAGAATATGAATTTTAGAACGGAACTTCATTGATTCATTTTTTTTAATAAAAATAGTCTATGCTAGTTCCTTAGTACATCACCAATCACATTAACATCGCACATCGCCATCGTCAATCCAGAGATTGGTGATTACAAAGAAACAGGCAGACAGACAAAAATTGTAAAAAATGTTAATTTGGTATGTGTATTGTATGTATATTCATTATGCATGTCGTAAAAAACGGGTATTTCAATATTACAAATAGACACTTTAATTTAATTTATCTGTATGTATAGGATGTACGGCATGGGATGTGATTTTTTTAATATTTTCAATAAAATATAGTATCAATCCTGGAAGCGGAGAACCTAACGGGTTACCGGAGCTCCGGCTCGAAGCGCAGGAGAAGGAACGAGGTGGTTTTTAGTCAGTAAGACTCTGATACTCCGTCCCGCCTCACCCAGGCGGGAGCAGTCATTCGATGATTGATTAGAATGATGTACAATTAATTATTGTTTTGATCACGCAACCGAAGTATTGGGTTGAAAGCTGTTTAGTACCTAGGTTGTGTATAAAAAACCTTACAAGTTTTTCCCATTTCCTCTTTTAATATTTATAAAAAAATAAACAAGAAACAGTTCAAAAACTATACAGTAATATATTCTTCTAATTCTGTGAAGAATCCAAAATCAAAGACATACTTGAAATGTTAGCGTAGTCGCGATATACTTTCGAGTTTAGTTGCAGGCGAATTGTCTTAAAAACACTTGGAACTTAGAAAATATATGTGACCTACTAGTACAGGAGAAGTTACTTTATACGTAATATGGAGTATCATACTCTTTTGTCTCCAGTGTCTAAAGTTATACGGATTAAACTATGTAGGTGTTCCCTCGAACTACAGACAAAGTTAGTTATATGTTAGTTCTGCTTCTACCGGGAATTGATTACAGCATACTGGGTTAAAATAACGTGGAGTTTGTTTTTATTATAACTACTATCGTGAGACATACTACCTAAATTAACTAAAAATCGCGGGTGACTCTCGTCAAAATACTGAGAAAATTCGCGACATCGCCGTGACCGCGCACATTGCTCATGAGGAAGAACCTCTGTGGTTCGAAACTAGTAGAGTATTTTTTCAATATTTTCACGTGAATAACCCGCGATTTTTAGTTAATAGTGGAGTTTGTTGCATTCATTAGTAGTATTATTATGTGAAGGTTGGCTAGAAGGTTGGTCGATCAGATTGGCGATATATTAAAGAAGGACCATATTAAAAGTACCCTTAACTAACTGACTGAAAAGACTGATGACTGTTGATGAAGTGAAAGAGATATGATAGAATCGTTTTCCATAGTCTCTGCCTATCCTTACGGGAGACAGGCGTGCGGTTATGTACATATGTATGTATAAAAGTTAGGGTATAATTATACGATGCAGGTCATTTTCAAGTGGTCAACCTGAATTTACAAGGAGGCCGATGTTCACTTGTTTTTTTTATTTATAAAACGTTGCCCCCTCTTTAGGTTTTTCTTCTGTGTGACTACTGTTATTTGTAAACGAACCCGCTACAACAGTAGTCTCTGATCATCGGAAATAAGGTATATAATGGGGTAATTGGAGAGTGAGCATCGATGACCGCTTGGGGATTGAGCAGTAAGATGCATCATGGTTGTGTCCAGCATCAGAAACGGATCAATGATGAGGATATTTTTGGCAGTATATTTGCAATAACCTTCTAAAAACTAATGTTTAAATAGTAAGGGTTCAACAAGATAACCAACAAGCCATAAGAAGACAAGAAAAAATGTAAAGCTAAACCAAAAACACTCCATAAATTGCCCAGCTATCTCTTCCACAAATGCCCTCATATTTCGCAAACTTCAAAAGAGTTTATTTACAAAATTCTTTGATACAACTTAACCTTTCTTAACATTCAGTTGAGTGGAAACATTAACTAACTTAGTCTTACCGGACTTTATTATGCAAGACTCAAGTTCCAAGCAAAAACCATTATCGTGGAGAGAGCCTTTAGTTTAATTTACTCGTTAAGTAGTTTTTCAGTTACTTACTCGAGTCACGTTCTTCTAACATTGTTTGAAATATTCAGACGTCTCATATTTCAATATTTTACGTCAGTTTCGTTTATTGTTCTTTTGTATATGTGCAGGAATTTTTAATGGTAGCGCCTTGAATGATTGCGTGACAAGCTTGTCTGTTTGGCGCGTTTATGGTGAATGACCTTTGTTCTGCGTGTTGGTTTCTTTTGAGTTTAGATTGGATTAAAGTATGAAATTATGCATTTTCATGTGTATATTTCGAAATATATGTTAAACGAAATATTCGTTTAAAAATTCCATTAAAATAACCGCAAAATAGTGAAGCGTAAGATGGGTCTGCTGGACTCTTCCGGCAGCTAAGTTTTCATTGTACTTGGTCAGTAAAATAATTAAACAAGATAGGCGCCAGATGTATTAAATTTGGGAATATGTACTGCAAAATATCCATAAAATATGCAATAAAAATAAGAACATTTCCATTCCAAATATAAAAGACACAAATCTCTTGAAAAACGTGACAAACTTTTTCCCCTCCCATACAAATCATTTTATAACTGCAATAACTATTGAGCCAACTATGACGGGCGCAAAGTTTCCCGTTATCCACCGCAATAGTAATAATAATAAATTATCTGAACACTTTATTCGAGGGTTATAATAATGCACCAATAAACAGATTTCAACTCCTATTTTGAAGAAGGAAAAATTTCGATGAGATGTGTCCTTTGATAAAATGAAATATTATGTTGTTATTTTTGTGTGTTACAAAAGCGATTGTATGTTTATTTATTTATACTTTATTGTACACACAGAAAAAATATTTTCTACATTGCAATAGTAATTTGAGTACAATGCGGTCTTATCAGACGCGGCGATTTCTTCCAGACAAATGTTTTGAATGGAATTTTTGAAAAGAATCTAGAAAGTGGTGGTAGATGCACAATAAAAGAAAACCAAAATAGAAGAAAAACAAAAAAAAAACTAATTAAACAATCAATAAAACTTACAGACTATTAATACACTAGCTACTTCCGCGCGGTTTGACACGCTCTGCTCAGCTCCTATTAGTCGTAGTGTGATGTTTTATAGCCTATAGCCAATCTCGATAAATGCGCTATCCAACACAAAAAGAATTATTCAAATCAGACTTGTAGTTACAGAGATTAGCGCGTTTAAACAAACAATCAAACAAAAAAAAACAAACTATATGGCTTTATATAATAGTGATTAGTTAAAGGATATTTTTCATACTAAAATGGTATGAAAAATATCCTTTTTAATATATTATGTTTCCTATTTCGTAGACTTTATGCTACAAAATCAGTCAGAGATTGAACTGAGAACTCGTATAGGTTTCAACAGGCTGGTGTTGCTTAAACCAAAGAGGCAACGTCAACCCTACGTTATACTCTTACTCATTTGAGACTGCACAAAAATAATCTTATGTATTCTGAACATTTCGAAGATCATCCGAGTTCTTTAGGCACCATGCATACACAAAGGTCTAGTCTTCAGCTCAGTTTTGCAGTACAGCAATGGTGCTGAGCCAAGCGAGATAATCCCCTATGTAAGCTGTCTTACCTTAGCAAGTTAAGAGCTTGCGACGTAAGACTATGAATAGTCTCGAAATAGCTTTGAAATACAAGGTGATGCATTCAGTTGAGAGATTTGTGTAGTATGTAAAGGGAACATCATGTGTAACACGATTAGAATATACAAGCTAGATACAACTGCCTCAACTGACAATCGGTAAAGTAAAACATCTTGAGGAAACCTGGTCGTATAATTTCTAATTATAAATTTTATGTCGCGAATCCGTATTGAATAAGCGTGGCGATTTATGCTCATTTATGCTACTCCCTATGCGAGAAGAGCTCTTTGGTGAGCAGTAGCCACTTATAGGCTGTTGATGTTGTTGAAGGAACTGTAACATATTCAGGTAAAAGATAATCACTTTTGCTGTAACATACATATTTATAATATACTAGCTACTTCCGCGCGGTTTCACATGCTCTGCTCAGCTCCTACCGGTCGTAGCGTGATGTTTTATAGCCTATAAAACAGCCTATAGCCATCCTCGATAAATGCGCTATCCAACACAAAAAGAATTATTCAAATCAGACTTGTAGTTGCGGAGATTAGCGCGATCAAACAAAAAAACAAACTCTTCCGATTTATATTGTAGGGTACATTTGATTTTTTTTTAAATGGTATATTATAAAGTCTATTTACGTTAATTATTCCTTATACTTATATAGCCTATATTTTCGCCGATTTTCTATTTAACCCTAAAGTTAACTGGGAGAGAATGCCATACGCCATTAATGTGCGCTTTATGTACCATCACTTATTTGTATGTACCTATATTTCTTTTTTATAGCATAAGCCGGTAAACGAGCAGACGGATTACCTGATGGTAAGCAATCGGTCCATGGACACCCGAATCACCACGGCGATGCAAGTGCGTTACCGCCCTATTGGGAATTGGGAATTTAAGAATTGTGATTCGGGGATTTGGAAGACTAGGGAGAAAATTAAAAGATATGCTTTGTAACGTGCTGTTGAAACGTAGTGTAGTTATGGCTCTGCTATTTTAATAAATGGCTTATTTTCTTCGTGGTTTGGTGTTTTTATGGGATAAGCCGGTAATCGAGCAGACGGATCACTTGATGGTAAGCAATCGGCGCCGCCCATGGACTTGGAAATATCAGAGGCGTTACAAGTACGTTACCAGCGTTTTGAGAATTGGTAATTTGAAGATTGTTTTATTGAATGTGAAGATTGATTGGAGGTAATTGGGCCTCCGGTAACCTCACTTACACGACGAAACACAACGCAAGCGTCGTTTCACGTCGGTTTTCTATAAGGCCGTGGTATCACTCCGGTCGAGCCGGC